CGGCCCAGGGACGCGTTGTGCGCGCGGGCGCCGCGCCCCGCCGGAGGGCGCTTCCTGCGCCAGCTGCTGGGCCTCAAGCGCAAGTCGCGGTCCTGCGAGAACCTGCTCGTGCTCTAGCCCCGGCCGCACAGGGGGGCGCGTCGGCCACAGTCAGCTTCGAAGGGGGGCTGACGTCGACAGTGGCTTCGAAACACAGGTGGGTTGGTGGAATCTTCGAATCGAGCTGGAGCAGTACCTCACCATACGGGCTACGGACATGTCGAAGATTTCTTGGAGATTTTCGCGGAGCCCCGGTGGGGGCGGAGGGAGGTCCGGAGGGAGAATATTCCGCCAAAAGCCAATATATGAAGATATGAATACCTCACGATCCAGAAGGGAGGAACACCGCCCCCTCCTGACCATAACATGTACAACACGGGAACAATGGCCATAGCAGTTGACCACTTGCCTGGAAACAAAAAAATAACCAATCAAGTAACAAAGATTTACTTTTTTCGAATTGGATTCGGTTCAAATGCATTGCGGTAGATTAGTTCAGGACTGTTTAAGTGGGCTGCTCACTTGGGGTGCTTTGCCCCAGCGCTTATCTGCGGGACGTTGCCCGCTGTTTTTTGAATCTCCCCGACAGAAGGGAAAGGGAGGTGCTCGGGCGTGATAACTCCAAGGAAATGATCTCGAAAACATTATTATTATAAAAATACTTCTTAATATTATTAAACTTAATGCGTGAAATTGTATTCGTCATGATGACCAGATTTGAGAATCGGAAACAAGTAATCTTTGCGCTTTTTTCCCCAAAAAAATTCTTGTAGCTATGGTTTACATCTGCAGTTAACTCAGGGAAATTGAAAGAGAGAACTCAGTTAATATATCTTTTGAAGAGAGAAAATTGGCATTCAAATCTTCACTGTTTTTTTCCATCAATGAAATGTTAATTCCTTTATTTTTGACCTCTTGATCCTTCCTATTATAATTCAGTTTTCAGGGGTCTTACTTCATTATTACGTTGAGACTATGCAGACCGTAGCATATTTTTCTGTAACATTATTTTGACTTTTAATATTATAAAAAACAATGTGTAAGCTGAACAATAGTGTAGCGAAACATACTCCAAAACTATGTTTTCTTTGCTTTTGTACATCTCTTAGCCATTTAGGGCATTGATCATATACGCTGCAGAAATCCTTATTTGTCTTTTGTCTCGTAACGTCACAGTCAGTCAACGCATTTTATAATTTCGATTCAGAGGTCGGTGCCATTAGTAACCGGGGTTTCCAGACGGTTACCCATCCAGGAATGTTGCATCTCGAGTTGCTTAACTTCCATGACTTCATGGAGCGTAATTAACCCTGCCTTCACCCAGGGATGGTCATTTTGTGTCCACACAGTTTTAAAATTGGAGTAATGCGATCCAAACCGCTAGATTCTGATTTTGTGACAGAAATAGAATGAATTTTGTTTCCGTACTCACTGTCATATTAGGGACTGACACAACAAAATTGTGAAACCAAAACATTAAGTGTGCACTAAATGCCCCTTCCTTTGTCTAAGGTGTGACTAACGTTTTCATCATTTCACAATTTTTACTCAACAATGAGGCTTATTTTTAAAATCATATTTATTTTCCAATATTTATTTGAAGACAAAAAATACTTCAAACAGTATTTTTAGTAAATAGTGTTGATCAATCTTTCGTCATCGTAGGGTGCAGCAACAAAATGAGTAAATACTCTTCAGAATCCGATTAATAATGAGAATAAGATGATGAGTTTGATGAAAATGACGAAAAGTCATCCAACTCGAGTGCAAATGCAACAAAAGATACATATTAAAATGTTTAAGCAAATAAAGCTTGTAACGTCATATTGATGGTAGACTTTTCTCTATTTTGAGTATGTATTTAAATACTTGTTTACAAAGTATTTTATCAAAGTATTTAAATACTAAATTTAAAGTATTTTGTCCAACCCTGAATATAGTGTAACCATTTACCTCCTAAAGACTGTTTGCATAGTAGACTGTCTCAGTAGCTCAAGTGGTTAAAGCAACTAAGCACTTATCAAGATATCTGGTTTGATTCTTGGCTGGAGCAGATAAAATGGTGAAATATCCTTTGAACGGTCACATATCCTTTGCAAAATTACTTCTGTAAAGTAGCTGTGGGTTCACAAAAGTTAGTTGGCAATTGAGAAACATGCAACATATTCCTACGCTATTGTTAAGCTTACAACAGTGATCAAGTGGTGAAAAGTAGAGTATTATTATTATGTTAATAAATATTGACAGTAAAATGTACTTGAATGTAGACAAATTTTAATTCAAACTTACTTAAAAAATGCAAAAATCATCAAAAAGATGAATAAAATTATCTTAAAGAAAGCTTTCTTCTAGAAGTATGCACATATGAATTGTTGTTAGTAGTATTTGGCTTTCTTTTTGAATTGGATCAGTTGTCAAATGAAGAAAATACTAATTTTTGAAGATTTATTCGTGATTTCATTTAAAACAGTCAATTGGTTTTTGACAGACTCTCTTTTATCTATGGCATTCTCAGATTAAGGAGACAGGTAAATGACAAAAGAAATCAAAATATTATTTATTTTTCATTAATATACCTCAAGTTATACTCGTCCATCCCTTACTAATAGTGCCTCAACATTTCTTTGAAATTTTTTCATATAATCATTTCCTGATTTTTTGGAATGTTGTGCATTTGGAAGAAAATATATACACCTGTAAAGCCAGACATTCCCATACTAGTAAAAAGGATCTTTGGAACTGATAATGGTTTAAACATTAGATTGAAAAATTGAGGGAAATTTGTATTACATTTTATAATTTTACATTACAACATTTTTTAAAATATGGTATATTACCTTGAGCTTTACTGATACATTTTATCAGGATTCATAATTCTGTAATCAAGATAACTTGATGCAAAAATGTCTTTCCAAGAAATTTTGATATTAAGAAAATAAAGAATTAATAATGTTTGTGCTCCCTTTCTGTATTTTGGCCCAGAATAGACAAGTATACAGTTCTGAGCACAGACTGCTTCCTCACTCAGAATTATATAATTCTTTGTATAAATAAAAGTGGGTAGTGAAGATAGGGTTTAAGTGTTCATCAGGGTTTTTCCAATCGGCGTTGGATCCTTGTCATATCGTCAAATTGAGAGAACATCTAAACAATATTATTTGTATCGTAGCTGATCTTCCATAAGACCTCCTTCGAAACTGAAATGCTCACTTTTAAATCAGTGTATTGTTTTCATGAAAGATGTACTATTTAAAGACCATGAGAACTTAGACTGGAGAATCTGTAACTTCAAATAACTGTGTGTTTGGTGTACAATGTTTGTTAGATTTTTGCCTACAATATTTATGCAAGTTAATGATACAAACATGGAAGAGAGAAGAATCAATTTATATCATATAGATAATAAATTATTTTCCCGGAATGTGCGTTTTGGGGCCAATATTTTTTTAATTGAGGTGCATCACTAAATGTTAAGACTACGGGTGTATTCATGTTTCTGGAGTAGTAAACTTAACAGAGCATGGGACCAAGTTTCTGTGGAATATGCAAAATGAAGAGGAAAAGAAGAAAGTAGATTTTTTTTTCATATTATAAGGGTAATATAACAATTAAAATATTTTGACTTTGTAAAATTATATATAGTGCTTGAAATTTTAAAAAACCTGTTTTGTGTACATGTTAAATAACACTGGAATATTTCATAGTGTACATAGAATGAATATCAGCAAATATCAGAAACATTCATAGTATATCAAGAGAATTGTTTATTTTACTTTACTTAAAATCTTAGTTTTCTCATTTTCACCCACATTCAAATAATAATTGTATTTTATCCCAGAAAGCTATGTTAAAAGATATCTGTGACACACTTTCAGAAAAGGTTCATTCCGACTCGCCTATCAAAGAAATATTCCTTTAGTTCAAACAACTAAACTTTTATAATGTTCTCACTGACAAAGTGTTCATTTCACACAAATTGTGTCATCATTAAATAATTAATTTACTTTTACAATTTAATATTGTTGTTGTGTTGAGGAAGTTTAAGTTCGTTTTAAGAGTTGGTTCTTTGCAGGAACAGCTGTAATCATGTTAAATGATTTACCCTAGAAGAAACATAATTTGAAATTCCTTACAAATTTTGTACTATTTTCTATATGCTACTAATTTATTCTTCTTTGTTTTTTCAAAAATCTTTTCCAGAAACAACAGTATCCCACACACAAACACTCATAAGGATACATGCATACATAAATGTACACAGTGTAGATAAAGAAAAATGTAATACATTAAGATACATATACCTACATATACAAACTACATCAAAATTATAATAACCATTTCGTTTCAATAGTGATTGCACAATTTGTATAATATTATATTTTATATGTAACATATAATAATACACAATATTAATATATAATACAAATATATAATTATATATTTGTATTTATATATTGCAGAATTTTATTGTTATGATTTGATTTTATTCGTAGTAAAAGTGATGTGTAAATGAGTTAATGTAAATTTTCTGGGTAGAGCTACACTCACAATTATTAATTTGTAAACTATTGAATCAATGATAATTATCTCTGTAGCAAATGTCAAAACTGAGAATATTTTATTATGTTTCATTATCTTTTGCCAATTCTCTTAATACAAATTTATTAAAGTTTAATTGATTTGAAATTTCTGAACTCCATG